ACAATTTCAGAATAATCTGCAGATCTCTATGATTATTTGCTTGCTTCGGTCGTAAAGTATCTGCATTTTTTTTCAATCATTCTATTACTAAATGTAAATTTACATCTCTCTCGATCGAGTGTTGCCGGCGTTTAATTGCGTGACTTGTGAATTTTTTTTTAAGAATGAGCCAGCAGTATATTGACCAGTAGGCTTCCTGCAAATTTCCCTTGATGGAAAAATCTTAAGACATCGTCAGTTTTTTACGTGAGCAACGACAATAAATATGAAAGAAAAGTGAGATGCAAAGGCCTTTATTTATTTACTTATTTATTTATTTGTTTGTTTATTTAGCTTAATAGTAGCTGTACCCTCTTCTGTAGTCTTCGTCTAAATTGTGCAAGGTTCCTCCTAATCTTCTGCCTTGTTCAGTCACTTTCGACTTCTGAAGCTAGATCATCGGCACCGGCCTTTTCGTCCTCATTCATACTTACAGAAGAGGACCTCGTCAATAAACCAATTTTTGTCACGGCAGATAACCGGCTGAAGTATCCAGCGATTTCCTGCTCTATCAACCAGTCAGTTTTAGACAACATTTTTGATCGGTGTCGTCTCTTAAACTCGATATTTGGGAAGCCACATTAGAGGCGGTTGCCTTACCAGTTTCCTCCTCTGTTCAGCACATGTCTAGGGGATAATTCTTTGCTTTCTGAGAAAGGCGGTTGCTTTTTGTGTTTTCCAAAGAACCCATTCAAAGTCCACCTGGCTAGTTAGGGATTATTCGTCAGAATTTTACCTGAGGTCCGACCTTGAACGTAGCCACCCCCTACAGAATGGCAAGTCTTCGTCCATTTCCTCTTGATCTTATCATAGGCGGATTTTTTTGTCAGCTTCACTTTATGTTTGCCTTTGTTAAGGTGCTTTTGGATGGCAGTGAATGACTGAAACGTCTTAATACATCCTTCCTCTTAGCAAGAATATCTCGCTTTCTTGCTCTGTCTGTGACGGACTGGGTATAGGACAAAATTAGATCTGGGATCTTCCGGGGGTTTGAAGACCTCTTTTCTGAGTAAAAGCAATTTTCACAAATTTTGCACTAGTATGGCTTCTCTCCTGTCTTTCACGTGCCTGTAGATTTGCCTTTTGTGTAAACCACTTGTCACAACTTTAAACTGGTATGGCCTCTTTCCAGTGCGAGACCTCTCATGTACTAGCAGATCTCCCTTTAGTGTAAGATACGTATCAGAAGTTTTGCACTGGCGTTGCTTCTCTCCAGTATGGCATCTTTCATGTACTTGTAGATGCCCCTTAGCTTTTGTGCAAAAGACTTGTCACAAGTTTTGCATTTAAATGCCTTTCCACACAACAGTTGCCCACACGTTTTGTAGATTCTGGACAGAATTTTGTGATTTTCCATTTCTTTTGTACCTTGTCAGTACTTGACATTTTTGTTTTGCCATGTAAGCATCAACTGGGAAAAACTCTTTGACAGCAAAAGGTACTTACAATGTAAAAGAAAAGAAACTCTTTTAATCACGTAAACTGCGGTGTTATACAGGGATTTCCGGCCCTGAGAAAAGCCGTAACAACACACGTGAAAAAAATATCGTATTTTTTGACGTGTTGATATAGCCAATCAGCTGCTGACACGTCACTTGCCTTTGATGCCACTCGGTCAGGTTGATGAATGAACGGTAACGCCTTCGCGACTCTTAATACAAGTTGTTTGTCGGAGCTTTCTCTAATTATGGCGGCTAAAACATTAAAAAGTCCGTATCGCTGATAGGCAGTGAGGTTCAAACTTTCCTAGAAGGGGAAGAAAACCAATATACTAAAAGAAAAACCGAAAGTTACGTATTCAGTGGCTTTGATGTTAGCATTTCTCGGCTGAGAATGAAAATCGACAACTGGAAGATTTGCCATAGGCCGATTACCTGAAAGAGATCTTCTGTTGGTAAGGAAAAAGTCAATAAATGAGAATTTTGTAAATTGAAAATTACGACCATTGTTGTTTCTGTAATCATGGTTCAGCGCATTTTTCCATCCTAAGAGTTACAGCCAACGCACTCTACGATTGTTATTCAGGGATTTTCGATTCATTTATTTTCATTGAAAATAGTCGGCTTTTCTTCCCAGTACAAGGGCCTTTGTGTATATATGATAAACAAAATAATACATGGTTGCTTGTAGATATGGAATTTCTCTTCTCGTGTTCAACTCGACATATCACTCGTGAGCTATCGAGTGAAACACTCGAAGAGAAATTCCATATCTACGCGCGCCCATGTATTATTCTCTATTTATTCAACCGAAGGAAGGACATATCTAACAAGGTGTTACCTTTGAAACTCAGTACCAATAGATTAGGTTTGAAGAGGCAGAGAAAATGGGCAGAATTCGGTGTAAAATTTACTTCAAACAGTAATAGTCCTACATGAATGGATGTTTTATCATAACAATTACCATTAGCAAAGGTATTCCCAGACAGTTCATGGCGAACAATTTATTACATCATGGCCGCCGCGCATGCGAATCGCGTCACTTTGTGGACTTAGATTGTATTTCGGCGCGTTTGAAATTACAGAGAAAACAGTGAAAACTGGACTTACCGTAGTCAAAACCTTCCTTTCATATCTTATGAATAAAACTTTTGTCAGGTCGCCAAATCCAATTTAAATGAAGAATATTTCCTTTTGCCTTTGAGCAATATTGTTTACAAAGAGTTGATGAATCGACGGTTCCCAACGCTTTTGAAATTTTTTCCTGTTCCTGAAAAATCCCCCATACTTCTTCTCTAATTCCCCTTAAATTTGTCTAAACGTGCTACCTTAAAACGTTCCACATAAGTTCTCTATGCTCATGTTTGATGTCCTTAAATCTGAATCTCTTGTTCGAAAGCCATAGTCGATTTCTATACTGAAAACGGCCCATTAAAACTAGAATTAACGGTTCCAAGCGTCCCTGGAAAAAGGGTTAATATTTTCTTCTCAAACTAGACGAGTTCATCCAGGTGTCACTTTCATGCGCTCTGCGCTCGCTCAAATACCCTTCGTGCAATGACACCAGCCTTACTTCGTCCACAATTGTGAAAATTTCTCTTCTTGCTAGGTCGCCTCTCCTCCTGTTTCCCGAGTTGGAATACCATACATTTTCCCGGGTTTTTTAAAAAAATGTCGGATGACAGAAAGAACTGTCAGCATGAATATGCAAAAGTAGTTGAGTTCAGTAAACTTAAGCTTAAACATGTTTAAAATTTGTTTGATAAACAGATTTAATAATGATATGCAGCTAAATTTTTGGAGACGAAACCAATTTTCGCCCTGGAAATACCCTATCCATTGTAAAAAGAATGGCATAGAATTATCACTGAGGACCCTCTGAGAAAACCTCACAAGTTTTCCCTGGCCTACAGCTTGTGTTAGATTACGATGCTCTCTTGAAAGGAACAATTAGGGACCATGCATTGCGGTAATTATAAATTCATTCTCCGCATGCAAGGTTTAAATGGAGCAACAGCTAACTATGCATGTGCATTGTGTAAAATCCAAAAGGATGATAGCTGGAAAACAGATCAGCATTTTAGTTATTTCAATTCAAAGCCACTTTCAAGGTCTTTACAAGAATTGAAAGAAATGTCCAAAAAATCAAAGGATGATTATGGCTGTTGTAAGGAACCCCTTCTGGACATTGAATTGGATCATATAATTGTTGATGAACTTCACCTCCTTTTAAGAATAACTGATAAGTGTTAACTGCCAATTTAATAACAGAATATTGAGGAGAGTATTGAAAACCTGATAAACAAACAGGCACACCTCCATAAGTTCATTCACAGCAGCAGGTCTTGTGGAGTGTCTTTTGATGTCTGGGAAAGAAAAATGCAGATGGCAAATAAAGTTCTGTTCACGAATGGATAAGTCTCATAAGAAATGATAAGAAAATAATGCTGTATCACCTTCCAGAGAAAATGAATGATTTCTTGAGGCCTGAAACTGCTGAAAAGATCATAAAAATATGGGTGTACTTCACAGCCCTGTAAAAAATCTCAGAAACTGGCAACCGAATACCAGCCCCACAGAGTTTTGGTTGAAAGCAAAACAATAGGTGAGTGATTTCATTTCTCTCAAAGGATTAAGGGAAGGTTACAAGTGAAAGAGAGTTACCCAATACCTTCATATTATGGTTTCCCATATATCCCATGGCTTTTCCAAATGTACCAAGTAGTAAAAACATTTACAGAGCAAGGAGTTGAAAGGAACATTGATGTTGCAGGGTCCACTGTTTTCTGGAAATTCAACAAGTGGGACTCTATTGGAGATGTTCTTCATCAAGAGTCATGTTAATGGCACTTAAGAAAAAGGGAATGGGAGCCCAGATCCTATCAGAAACAAACTAGAGTACTGGGAAGAGGACATATTCCGAAAAAGAAAAAACTGTACCACCTGAAATTACTACACCTCTATCTAATCTGCAAAGTGGTTAAAGTACTGTTGCATCTCAAACTCACTCTGCTGTGCCTTTGAGCTCAATTGACTTTACAAAAATGACAGTTCCTCAGCTTAAAGAAGAATTAAAGGAAAGAGGAAGCAAAGGCATCCTTAGAAAACAAACATTAGCTTGTAAGATTATTGAAGAGCATTACTGACAAAAAAAACCAGTCAACCTCTATTTAAAAAGAAATGACATTGTCATTAGATGCAGATTGTAAAGTGGCATAGCATATAGCATTTGGCCTGCTGCAGGTGTAATAGCTGTACCTGTTGTAATAATGGCCTGTTAATACCCTGATAGGTTCAGATAAACTCAACAGGTTTCTTTAATCTACACCAGCACCATGTTACAGTACAATGATTCTTTTCGCATCGATAAATCCATATAACAGTAACGAAATGTCTAAACACTACACCTGTCCCACTTTATATGATAGTCAATCTGAGAAATCAAAATTATTCATTTTACTGCAAAACTCAAACGTTCTTTAAATCTTAATATTACATCAGATAAACTTATCAACAATAAAATCAAGGGAACTTCATGTGTTCTTCATAGTGGTTAATGAGCTGGGATGCACTTCTCAGTTCCTCCTGACAAATCCAGCAAGTAAATGCTTCATCGTAATCTGAGGAATATGGCTGCTGTCCAGAGTGCAATTTTTCATGCCTTTGAAGTGTTCCCTTCTGAGTAAACCACTTGTCACAAGCTTTGCACTGGTATGGCTTCTCTCCAGTGTGGGATCTTTCATGTCTATGTAGATTTCCTTTATGACTAAACCACTTGTCACAGCTTTTACACTGGTATGGCTTCTCTCCAGTGTGGGATCTTTCATGTACTGTTAGATCATGCTTTCGTGCAAACCCTTTGTCACAAGTTTTGCACTGGTATGGCCTCTCTCCAGTGTGGGATCTTTCATGTCTATGTAGATTTCTTCTATCACTAAACCACTTGTCACAGCTTTTGCACTGGTATGGCTTCTCTCCAGTGTGGGATCTTTCATGTACTGTTAGATCACCCTTTTGTGCAAACCCTTTGTCACGAGTTTTGCACTGGTATGGCCTCTCTCCAGTGTGGGATCTTTCATGTCTATGTAGATCACCCTTTTGTGCAAACCCCTTGTCACAAGTTTTGCACTGGTATGGCCTCTCTCCAGTGTGGGATCTTTTGTGTACTGTTAGATGACTTTTTTGTGCAAACCACTTGTCACAAGTTTTGCACTGGTATGGCTTCTCTCTAGTGTGGAATCTTTCATGTACTGTTAGATCACCCTTTCGTGCAAAACACTTGTCACAAGTTTTGCACTGGTATGGCTTCTCTCCAGTGTGGGATCTCATATGTACTTTTAGAGTTTCTTTTTGTGTAAACCACTTATCACATGTCTTACACTGGTATGGCTTCTCTCCAGTGTGAGATCTTTCATGTCTATTTAGATTTCCTCTATGACTAAACCACTTGTCACAGCTTTTACACTGGTATGGCTTCTCTCCAGTATGAGATCTCATATGTGTTTTTAGAGTTTCTTTTTGTGTAAACCACTTATCACATGTCTTACACTGGTATGGCTTCTCTCCAGTGTGGGATCTTTCATGTCTATGTAGATTTCTTTTATCACTAAACCACTTGTCACAGCTTTTACACTGGTATGGCTTCTCTCCAGTGTGGGATCTTTCATGTACTGTTAGATCATGCTTTTGTGCAAACCCTTTGTCACAAGTTTTGCACTGGTATGGCCTCTCTCCAGTGTGGGATCTTTCATGTCTATGTAGATCACCCTTTTGTGCAAACCTTTTGTCACAAGTTTCGCACTGGTATGGCCTCTCTCCAGTGTGGGATCTTTCATGTCTATGTAGATTTCTTTTATCACTAAACCACTTGTCACAGCTTTTACACTGGTATGGCTTCTCTCTAGTGTGGGATCTCTCATGAACCTCTAGATATCTTTGTCTATGAAAGCACTTGTCACAGGTTTTGCACTGGTATGGCTTTCCTCTAGTGTGAGATTTCTCATGTCTTTGTAGATTTCCTTTTTTTACAAAACACTGGTCACAAGTTTTGCACTGATATGGCTTTTTCCCAGAAGTGGACATTTTTTTTTTGCCATGCAAAGTGTTCTAAAATGTAAGCAAACAAAAAAGAGATTTACTCAACCAGATGCACATATTTGAGAGGGTTTCAGAAGCAATGTCTTAAGTTTGAATAATCAAAGAAATTGGATGGTGAGTTGAATGGCAACAATAATATGAACAATATTAAACATAATAATGTTAACAACAGTAATAGTTACGATAATTTATATCTGCTAGCTCAAAAAACTCACTGTTCCTCTATCAGTCTATCCTCTAGGCCCAAATAATGATTAAACTATGCTCCTTTTGTTTTTATTCTGTTGATTAAAATTAATTTTCCCTTTTCCACATGCTAAACTCAAGGTATCTTAGTTAAGACATCGCTTCCCTTCTCAAATTTGGCAGCTCTTTTGGGTATAAATTGCTGATAGAAATGGTAAAATGCTCCCTCTTCAAATAAATAAAATTAGTCTTCAGAGCTTGTATGACTAAGAGATCAACTTTCCAGATATTTATGCCATGAACAGTCTTGTTATCAAATATGTGCCTGAGACACCAGTGTAAAATTATTTTGAGAGATTTTATCATCATGTGTGGTGTCACGGCAAGGACTAAAAAAAACCTTTACTTTCCAATCTACTGGGCATAATTCCCTAATCCAACCATTAAAATGCTTTCTCTTGATAGAAAGTAAATTCCTCTATGTGCCCCAATCACACCTTTTAAGATATTTCTGCAAGGAAAAGCTTAGATTTTTTACGCACCATACGGAGATGATTTTAAGATGTTTATCGCCTTCTTGCTCTGTGCTCTGAAATAAACAATCAGTAGCACCAGGAAACTACTAACTCACTGACTCATTTCAACGACATGTGTGGCTTCGCCTCCTATATGAGGTATTAGCCATAAAAATAAAAAAAATTACCTTCTTTCATCAACACTCCTACATCCAATCCTCTCAATGAGTATAAACGTTTCCTAACTGTATAATTTTACCTGTTTTTAATCTTCAAGTTATTGGTCTTTCACTCGAAGTAAAGCCATAACTTTCAGGGTTGAAAATAATTCTTCAGCTTTTAGCGTGAATTTGTAGGCTTTTGTCAAGGCTCATTGTTTTCCTAACTGTCAATAATAAATGAGCAGTCAGCACATGTCTTCAACACTCAACATGATTTATTAACAGTACTGAAAGGAATAATTACCTTAAATTGCTTAAAATAATTTCAGCATCAGAATCTTTATTTTGATCAACATGTTTTGTGGCAGCAATTCCTTTTCTAAGAAAACGTTGCAAACGGCTCAATTTTCGGTGTTTGTTCAAGCGTGAAATATAAAACTTTGTCGAGACAAACTGTCGCGCTTCTCCATGGGAAATCCGTACTGTACAGTACCGACTTTAATTTGAACGTGTAAGAAGGCTTTGCAAACGACATTGAACAGGATTTGGCAGAAAATAAATCTTGATTAAAGGTAGTATGTAAGTGCAGAAACGTAAATACGATAATGTGACGGTGTTTACACAAACTTGCATGTTTCACGCTCCAACAAATACGTGGAAAGCTGAATACTGTAAACAAAAATACTCCCTGTAGCACGCTTCGAATTTCGAAACTTTATACTCGTTTACGTTTCCGAAAAGCTTTAAGCGCATTTCTTGGCTGCTTAATTACCTAACATGAAAAGTTCATCATAGCATGACAGCGACTTTTACTTCAGTTGGACGATTAGTAAGCGTAATATTTTGCTATGAAATTCTAGTTCTTCGGTGAAAAATCGCTGATAAGTGCGCTAAAAGTTGCGGCTGTTATTTTATCATACCTGCCTACGCTGCCAATATATCATTTTATTTTAAGAACAGTCTTAGTTTTCAAAATTCCCGCGAAATACTCTGTTCTCACCACGTCCGCGAGAGTATCACAATCAGAAGTTTGACTGTCTTCACTAGAAGAACGTTTCTCGTTATCGCGTGTGACAGAGCGTCGTTACACAATAATTTGATTTGCTACGATTAGCCAGCACACTGCAACCTCTGGTTAGGCTCTCAAATGAAGAAAAAATACGGGCAACGGAAGTCTCCAAGGGTTTATATGGGATGTGAGAGCTTCTGTTGATATGTTCCTGGGTGGACATTATTACTCTAGTATGATTGTATATGTTACTGAAACGGACTATAGTGATCGGCATAATAAGTAAAAAGTTTAATGCAATGAAAAGGTAAAGCAAGTGAAAGTTTTCCTTCCTTCCGCTGATCCGAGGTTTTTACGGCCCTGGAGTCATCCCGATTGATTTTCAGTCAGCGGTTGAGCAGGTGGCCTAGATTGGCCTTTACGGGAAAAATAAGGGTGCTTTCCTTTAGGAGGATCCGGATTAGGTTTTTGTGATCCAAGATCACACAGATCACGTTGCATCAAAGGAACTTAGCTTTAGTTCATCAGATCAGTCACCATGACAGCAGGCGCGAAATTGTAGAGCACGCAAGCGGAATTATGCGCTAAATTTAAAAACGAAAACAAGATTGCCGTCGCGGATAGAACAGCTGTTGTTTCGTTAGTAACAGGGACCGCACAGCAAGTTTTGGAGGGGGGCTAAAGAAGAATGTGTGAAGGACATTTTTTTGTTAAATTATTCTTTGTTTAATTTATTTTTATTCTAGCAAAAAAGTGGGGGGGGGGGGGGGCTAAAGCCCCCAGCCCCTCCCTCTGCGCGGTCCCTGAGTAAAGGAACTTTCCGATGATTCAATACTAATAGAAGTGAGAAGTTGTCAAGATGAAGAATTTCTAAGGGAGAGGTAGAGCCATGTCCGCATCGAAAATTATTTCCAACGTATTAAACCACTCTACATTGTTTCAAATTTTTAAAGTCGTTTTCAGATGTCAAGAACTACAGTCAGCTGTTTGGGACGCCTTTTAGCTATTTGCCTATGTCTGCCTTATGGACAAAGGAGTGGTGGGAGACCTGCCATTGACTTACAGAAGCAAGTATTAATTACGATAAGGATACTCGGGAACCCTAAATGCCTGCGATCAGTGGCCGCTCGATTTAACATTACAAAATCAATTTTATTTCGCGTTTATCGCAGAATTTGTGGAGCAATTGCCAACAATCTTTCCGGTCAATATATGAACAACCTACTTGTTTGAAATTGAGCGCCGCTGGGCAAAATGATTAATTTCGGATCCTTCGCTCAGAGGAACGCGTTGGATCAATGATCCAATGATCCGTCTTTAGATCACGAAGATCAGTGATCCGATGAATTCTTGTCCAGAGTGGATTTGATAGACCACTGATCTGAAAATGGATTTGCTCGAAAGGAACGCCACAGATCAGAAATCCAGATCCGGCTTCTCCCAAAGGAACGCACCCTAAGTACCTTGATCTTGAGTGGGTACTCAAAAAACTGAAAACATCTTATTGTAAAACAAGAATCTATGCTATGAATATCAAACTTACTTTTCCATTGATACATACTCATAATTTCTGAAAAAAGTTTTTCATCATATAAACTGCGGTGTTATACAGGGATTTCCGGCCTGAGAAAAGCCGTAACAACACACGTGAAAAAATTTCGTATTTTTTCACGTGTGTTGATATAGCCAATCAGCAGCTGACACGTCACTCGCCTTTGGCGCCACTTTGACAATTTGATGAATGATCGGCAAAGCCTTCCCGGTTCTCAATATATGGTAAATGAATAAAGGGGTAAGTTTCTAAAGAAACTGTGGTGCTGCGTCGGTGGGAGAGTATAGCAGGTAATTTAGTGTTAACAACTGGGTTGAAAACGTAAATTAGCCACCGTAAAGGATAAAAAAGCTGACGTTTCGAGCGTTAGCCCTTCGTCAGAGCAATCGCTCTGACGAAGGGCTAACGCTCGAAACGTCAGCTTTTTTATCCTTTACGGTGGCTAATTTACGTTTTCAACCCAGTTGTTAACACTAAATTACCTCAATATATGGTAGTTTGTCGGAATTTTCTCGGATTGTGGCGGCTAAAATGCTAAAAAAATCCGTATCGCTGACAGACAGTGAGGTTCAAACTTTCCTAGAAGGGGAAGAAAACCAATATACTAAAAGAAAAAACCGAAAGTTACGTATCCAGAGGCTTTGATGTTAGCATTTCTTAGCTGAGAATGAAAATCGACAACTGGTAGATTTGCCATCGGCCGATTTTGGCCGTTTACCTGAAAGAAGTCTTCTGTCGACTTTACGACCATTGTTGTTTTTGCAATCATGGTTCAGAGCTCAGCTTTTCTATCTTAAGAGTTAGAGCCAACGCACTCTACGATTATTATTCGGGGATTTTCGACTTATTTATTTTCATTGAAAATAGTCGGCTTTTCTTCCCAGTAAGAGGGCTTTTGTGTTTATATGATAAACAAAATAATACATGTTTGCTTGTAGATATGGAATTTCTCTTCTTGTGTTCAACTTGACATCTCACTCGTGAACTATCGAGTGAAAGACTCGAAGAGAAATTCCATATCTACGCGCGCCCATGTATTATTCTCTATTTATTCAACCGAAGGAAGGACATATCTAACAAGGTGTTACCTTTGAAACTCAGTACCAATAGATTAGGTTTGAATAGGCAGAGAAAATGGGCAGAATTCGGTGTAAAATTTACTTCAAACAGGAATACTCCTACATGAATGGATGTTTAATCATAACAATTGCCATTAGCAAAGGTATTTCCAGACAGTTCATGGCGAACAATTTATTACATCATGGCCGCCGCGCATGCGAATCGCGTCACTTTGTGGACTTAGATTGTATTTGGTGCGTTTGAAATTACAGAGAAAACAGTGAAAACTGGACTTACCGTAGTCAAAACCTTCCTTTCATAGCTTATGAATAAAACTTTTGTCAGGTCGCCAAATCCAATTTAAAAGAAGAATATTTCCTTTTGCCTTTGAGCAATATTGTTTACAAAGAGTTGATGAATCGACGGTTCCCAACGCTTTTGAAATTTCCTCCTATTCCTGAAAAATCCCCATACTTCTCCTCTAATTCCCTTAAGTTTGTCTAAACGTGCTACCTTAAAACGTTCCACATAAGTTCTCTGTGCTCATGTTTGATGTCCTTAAATCTGAATCTCTTGTTCGAAAGCCATAGTCGATTTCTATACTGAAAGCGGCCCATTAAAACCAGAATTAACGGTTCCAAGCGTCCCTGGAAAAAGGGTTAATATTTTCTTCTCAAACCAGACGAGTTCATCCAGGTGTCACTTTCATGCGCTCTGCGCTCGCTCAAACAACCTTCGTGCAATCATGCTGACACTAGCCTTACTTCGTCCACCATTTTGAAAATTTCTCTTCTAGCTAGGTAGCCTCTCCTCCTGTTTTCCGAGTTGGAATACCATACATTTTCCCGGGTTTTTTAAAAAAATGTCGGATGACAGAAAATACTGTCAGCATGAATATGCAAAAGTAGTTGAGTTCAGTAAACCGGAGCTTAAACCCCGTTCACACCAAAGCTTAAACATGTTTAAAATTTGTTTGATAAACAGATTTAATAATGATATGCAGCTAAATTTTTGGAGACGAAACCAATTTTCGCCCTGGAAATACCCTATCCATTGTAAAAAGAATGGCATAGAATTATCACTGAGGACCCTCTGAGAAAACCTCACAAGTTTTCCCTGGCCTACAGCTTGTGTTAGATTACGATGCTCTCTTGAAAGGAACAATTAGGGACCATGCATTGCGGTGATTATAAATTCATTCTCCGCATGCTAGGTTTAAATGGAGCAACAGCTAACTATGCATGTGCATGGTGTAAAATCCAAAAGGATGATAGATGGAAAACAGATCAGCATTTTAGTTATTTCAATTCAAAGCCACTTTCAAGGTCTTTAAAAGAATTGAAAGAAATGTCCAAAAAATCAACAGATGATTATGGCTGCTGTAAGGAACCCCTTCTGGACATTGAATTGGATCATATAATTGTTGATGAACTTCACCTCCTTTTAAGAATAACTGATATGTGTTAACTGCCAATTCAATAACAGAAGTTAATGATTGGGATATTGAGGAGAGTATTGAAAACCTGATCAACAAACAGGCACACCTACATAAGTTCATTCACAGCAGCAGGTCTTGTGGAGTGTCTTTTGATGTCTGGGAAAGAAAAATGCGGATGGCAAAGAAAGTTCTGTTCACGAATGGATAAGTCTAATAAGAAATGATAAGAAAATAATGCTGTATCACCTTCCAGAGAAAATGAATGATTTCTTGAGGCCTGAAACTGCTGAAAAGATCATAAAAATACAGGTGTACTTAGCAGCCCTGTAAAAATCTCAGTAATTGGCAACCGAATACCAGCCCCACAGAGTTTTGGTTGAAAGCAAAACAATAGGTGAGTGATTTCATTTCTCTCAAAGGATTAAGGGAAGGTTAAAAGTGAAAGAGAGTTACCCAATACCTTCATATTATGGTTTCCCATATATCCCATGGTTTTTTCAAATGTACCAAGTAGTAACAACATTTACTGGGCAAGGAGTTGAAAGGAACATTGATGGGTCCACTGTTTTCTGGAAACAAGTGGGACTCTATTAGAGATGTTCTTCATCAAGAGTCATGCTAATGGCACTTAAGAAAAAGGGAATGGGAGCCCAGATCCTATCAGAAACAAACTAGAGTACTGGGAAGAGGACATATTCCGAAAAAGAAAAAACTGTACCGTCTGAAATTGCTACACCTCTATCTAATCTGCAAAGTGGTTAAAGTACTGTTGCATCTCAAACTCACCCTGCTGTGCCTTTGAGCTCAGTTGACTTTACAAAAATGACAGTTCCTCAGCTTAAAGAAGAATTAAAGGAAAGAGGAAGCAAAGACATTGCTAAGAAAACAAAACATTAGCTTGTAAGCTTACTGAAGAGCATTACTGACAAAGAAAACCAGTCAACCTCTATTTAAAAAGAAATGACATTGTCATTAGATGCAGATTGTAAAGTGGCATAGCATATAGCATTTGGCCTGCTGCAGGTGTAATAGCTGTACCTGTTGTAATAATGGCCTGTTAATACCCTGATAGGTGCAGATAAACTCAACAGGTTTCTTTAATCTACACCAGCACCATGTTACAGTACCATAATTCTTTTTGCACCGATAAATCCATATAACAGTAACAAAATGCCTAAACACTACACCCATCCCACTTTATAAGATAATCAATCTGAGAAATCAAAATTATTCATTTTACTGCAAAACTCAAACGTTCTTTAAATCTTAATATTACATCAGATAGACTTATCAACAATAAAATCAAGTGAACTTCATGTGTTCTTCATAGTGGTTAATAAGCTGGGATTCACTGCTCAGTTTTTCCTGACAAATCCAGCAAGTAAATGCTTCATTGCAATCTGAGGAATCTGGCTGTTGCTGTCCAGAGTGCAATTTTTCATGCCTTTGAAGTGTTCTCTTCTGAGTAAACCACTTGTCACAAGCTTTGCACTGGTATGGCTTCTCTCCAGTGTGGGATCTTTCATGTCTATGTAGATTTCCTTTATGACTAAACCACTTATCACAGCTTTTACACTGGTATGGCTTCTCTCCAGTGTGGGATCTTTCATGTGATGTTAGATGACCCTTTCGTGCAAACCCTTTGTCACAAGTTTTGCACTGGTATAGCCTCTCTCCAGTGTGGGATCTTTCATGTCTATGTAGAGCACCCTTTTGTGCAAACCCTTTGTCACAAGTTTTGCACTGGTATGGCCTCTCTCCAGTGTGGGATCTTTCGTGTACTGTTAGATGACTATTTTGTGCAAACCACTTGTCACACGTTTTGCACTGGTATGGCTTCTCTCCAGTGTGGGATCTCATATGTGCTTTTAGAGTTTCTTTTTGCATAAACCACTTATCACATGTCTTACACTGGTATGGCTTCTCTCCAGTGTGAGATCTTTCATGTTTATTTAGATTTCCTCTATGACTAAACCACTTGTCACAGCTTTTACACTGGTATGGCTTCTCTCCAGTATGAGATCTCATATGTGCTTTTAGAGTTTCTTTTTGTGTAAACCACTTATCACATGTCTTACACTGGTATGGCTTCTCTCCAGTGTGGGATCTTTCATGTCTACGTAGATTTCTCTTATCACTAAACCACTTGTCACAGCTTTTACACTGGTATGGCTTCTCTCCAGTGTGGGATCTTTCATGTACTGTTAGATCACGCTTTTGTGCAAACCCTTTGTCACAAGTTTTGCACTGGTATGGCCTCTCTCCAGTGTGGGATCTTTCATGTCTATGTAGATCACCCTTTTGTGCAAACCCTTTGTCACAAGTTTTGCACTGGTATGGCCTCTCTCCAGTGTGGGATCTTTCATGTCTATGTAGATTTCTTTTATCACTAAACCACTTGTCACAGCTTTTACACTGGTATGGCTTCTCTCCAGTGTGGGATCTCTCATGAACCTCTAGATCTCTTTGTCTATGAAAGCACTTGTCACAGCTTTTGCACTGGTATGGCTTTCCTCTAGCGTGAGATCTCTCATGTCTTTGTAGATTTCCTTTTTTTACAAAACACTGGTCACAAGTTTTGCACTGATATGGCTTTTTCCCAGAAGTGGACATTTTTTTTTTTGCCATGCAAAGTGTTCTAAAATGTAAGCAAACAAAAAAGAGATTTACTCAACCAGATGCACATATTTCACAGGGTTTCAGAAGCAATGTCTTAAGTTTGAATAAACAAAGAAATTGGATGGTGAGTTGGGTAAAATATGTTTCAAACACTGTAGTACTCTTCCAGGAAAGGAAGTTCTACTATAACAATTGCCACTAACAAAGGGATTCACAGACAGTGCGATTTCTGGCAAAAGCCCTGAAAGAAAAACCTTCACATGAGTAAGGACCTACAAAGAGAAGTGCATTTCCAACAAGTCCCTTTACATAGCCTCACACAACCAGTTCACACAATCTACATGATGTCCTTGTGATGTTAAACTTTAATCTATAGTTGTCACTGTCTCAAGTGGAGAACCCAAAGTACAAAAACTGGACAAAACAAATTTCTAGTAGACACTACAAAAGAGATTCCCAATAGACTTTAATAGAGAGAATCCAGTTAAAAGGTAAGACAATGATAAAAATCACAAAAAAAGGAGTTTAACACCTCATGCGGCTACTGATATAGCACAATTTGTATAAAGTATCGAAAAGAATTCAAGATTGTCTAATGATACTAGAAGGTAGTGTTGCACAAGATTTGTCTCTGGTGCAGAAAGCCAACTGCACCCCACATATTTACAAGTACCCTGTTCCACAAGAGAAAGATGATTCAAGAATATACTGATTACTTGACACTCACCCGATAATTGAATGGCAACAATAATATTAACAATATTAAACATAATAATGTTAACAACAGTAATAGTTACGATAATTTATATCTGCTAGCTCAAAAAGCTCACCGTTCCTCTATCAGTCTATCCTCTAGGCCCAAATAATGATTAAACTATGCTCCTTTTGTTTTTATTCTGTTGATTAAAATTAATTTTCCCTTTTCCACATGCTAAACTCAAGGTACCTTAGTTAAGACATCGCTTCCCTTCTCAAATTTGGCAGCTCTTTTGGGTATAAATTGCTGATTGAAATGGTAAAATGCTCCCTCCTCAAATAAATAAAATTAGTCTTCAGAGCTTGTATGACTAAGATCAACTTTCCACATATTTATGCCATGAACAGTCTTGTCATCAAATACGTGCCTGAGACACCAGTGTAAAATTATTTTGAGAGATTTTATCATCATGTGTAGTGTCACGGCAAGGACTAAAAAAAAACCTTTACTTTCCAATCTACTGGGCATAATTCCCTAATCCAACCATTAAAATGCTTTCTCTTGATAGAAAGTAAATTCCTCTATGTGCCCCAATCACACCTTTTAAGATATTTCTGCAAGGAAAAGCTTAGATTTTTTACGCACCATACTGAGATGATTTTAAGATGTTTGTCGTCTTCTTTAGTGCTCTGAAATAAACAATCAGTAGCACCAGGAAACTACTAACTCACTGACTCATTTCAACGACATGTGTGGCTTCGCCTCCTATATGAGGTATTAGCCATAAAAATAAAAAAAATTACCTTCTTTCATCAACACTCCTACATCCAATCCTCTCAATGAGTATAAACGCTTCCTAACTGTATAATTTTGCCTGTTTTTAATCTTCAAGTTACTGGTCTTTCACTCGAAGTAAAGCCATAACTTTCAGGGTTGAAAATAATTCTTCAGCTTTTAGCGTGAATTTGTAGGCTTTTGTCAAGGCTCATTGTTTTCCTAACTGTCAATAATAAATGAGCAGTCAGCACATGTCTTCAACACTCAACATGATTTATTAACAGTACTGAAAGAAATAATTACCTTAAATTGCTTAAAATAATTTCAGCATCAGAATCTTTATTTTGATCAACATGTTTTGTGGCAGCAATTCCTTTTCTAAGAAAACGTTGCAAACGGTTTAATTTTTCGGTGTTTGTTCAAGCGTGAAATATACAACTTTGTCGAGACAAACTGTCGCGCTTCTCCATGGGAAATCCGTACTGTACAGTACCGACTTTAATTTGAACGTGTTAGAAGGCTTTGCAAACGACATTGAACAGGATTTGGCAGAAAATAAATCTTGAGTAAAGGTAGTATGTAAGTGCAGAAACGTAAACACGATAATGTGACGGTGTATACACAAACTTGCATGTTTCACGCTTCAACAAATACGTGGAAAGCTGAATACTGTAAACAAAAATACTCCCTGTAGCACGCTTCGAATTTCGAAACTTTATACTCGTTTAGGTTTCCGAAAAGCTTTTCCCGCATTTCTTGGCTGCTTAATTGCCTGACATGAAAAGTTCATCATAGCATCACAGCGACTTTTACTTCAGTTGGACGATCAGTAAGCGTAATATTTTGCTATGAAATTCTAGTTCTTCGGAGAAAAATCGCTGATAAGTGCGCTAAAAGTTCCGGCGGCCGCCTGTTATTTTGAACCTTGCTTTCATCAAAGTACATTCATCTATTTTATTCCAAATTATCTGTTGCCCAAATAACTTATTAAGTGTAAAGTTCTTTAGTAAGGAAACTCTCTCATATGCTTTTGGCAATGGAAACATTTTAACAGTTGAGACATTCCAAAGTAAATTTCAAATGAAAACAAACTACTTCAGTTCTTTTAATTGATAGCCGTACCTCCATCGGATTTGAAAAGGAAACCCAGATGAATATAAAATATTTAGGTATATACCCAACTACTACTACCATCGTGGGAAATAAGCTAAATTTAACATTGTACTCATACCTTACAAGTTTTTATGTTTTCCAAAGTGATTCGCCCTTGTCTCCTCATTAAACCTACGTTATCTTGTAACTGCCGCCTCACTTACAGGTTCCCCAAGGTTGTTCACTTGAACAGGGAAGAGAGGACACTGGGAACAAGATTGAGCATTAGGACTAGGAGTTTTCTCACGCATCATACCTACCTACGCTGCCTGTATATCATTTTATTTTAAGAACAGTCTTAGTTTTCAGAATTTCCGCGAAATACTCTGTTCTCACCACGTCCGCGAGAGTATCACAATCAGAAGTTTGACTGTCTTCACTCGATGAACGTTTCTCGTAATCGCGTGTGACAGAGCGTCGTTACACAATAATTTCATTTGCCAAAAATAAAAACTTGAAATCTATGATGCATCTGCTTCCCTGTTGTGCTCGTTTCCTGTATCTTTTGTCATCTTATAGACATTGAATCGTTCAAGGTTGATCTCAGGAAATCGAGACTATGCCAGGACCCACCCGATGCACTTACTGACCTTGTTTCCTGTTACGGTTCAACCATGACCAGCCTTTTAGATAAACATGCTCCACTTCAGAAGAAGACCATCACGGTTCGTCTGCAGGTTCCTTGGTTCAATAACGAAGTCAAAGAAGCCAAGCGTTTACGTAGACGGGGTGAAAGAATCTGGCAAAGGACAGGGCTCTAGTCAGACAGGGCTAAATTCATCAAAACACGTAGTCATACAAATCACGAGATGGAGCAAGCAAGGCGCGACTATTATTTCAACCGTATTAATGAAAACGATTGTGATCAGGGAAAGCTTTTCAAGACGGCCAGTGCACTGCTAGGAGGGTCGTCACAGAAACAATACCCCAAACACTCTGACCCTACTATGCTTGCTAATGATTTTGGGAGATTCTTTACACAAAAGATCGACGACATTCGCTCAAAGCTGGATAGAATTGACTCCTCATCAAATCAGCCTGACTACACGACCAGGAGTAGCGTCCAAGAACATTCGTATGCTGGCACACCCTTCACTAACTTCCAGCCTATACCGTCTGAAGGTATAAAAAAACTGGTGCTGAATGCCCCAAACAAGACTTGCGACAGTGACCCTATACCTACCTAGATTGCTAAAGACTGCATTAATGAACTTTTAACGACTATTTCCAACATGGTTAATCTTTCGCCTAGTAGTGGTCACTTTCCTGACATTCGGAAAGAGGGTTTAGTGAGACCAAAGTTAAAGAAAGTCAACATGGATTTGATAAAGAAAAACTACCAGCCCGTCAGCAATCTCGTATTCGTTTCAAAGATCACTGAAAAGGTAGCTGCACTACAAATCTCTGATCACGTGTCATCCAATCAGATGCTTCCAGAATTTCAATCAGCCTACCGCAAATATCACGGTAGGAAAACTGCCTTACTGCGCATGCGCAACCACATACTCGTCAGCATGAACAAACAACAAGTCTTTTTACCAGTGTTCCTAGATCTAAGCGCTACCTTTGATACAGTAGACCACAGTATGTTACTACGGCGCTGGGAATACAAATTTAAAATTAAAGATCAAGCAGTAACGTGGTTCAAATCCTGTGTGTCGAATAGATCCCAGCGTATTGTAATCGGCAGTGGAAAGTCAGACAATTTTGATCTGAAGTTTGGTGTGCGACAAGGCTCCTGTCTCGGCCCAGTGCTGTTCTCCCTTTACACCAGTGAGCTTTTTGATGTCATTAGCCAGCACTTACCAATAGCGCACATTTACGCCGATGATACCGGTATCTATTTGGCATTCAATCCAAACGATGATTCCGATCAAGACGCCGCCATTGCAGCAATGGAAGCGTGCCTCTGTGACATCCGCAGCTTGATGATCAATGACAAACTCATGATCAATGATTCCAAGACTAAGTTTATGCTCATTGGGACGAAGGCGTAGCTACAGAAAACTAAAAGCGCTACTCTAACTATTGGCGAATCCATCATCTCTCCCAGCACGGAACCCCTTAGAAACTTAGGGGCCTGGTTTGACTGCCATTTCAACCTGAACCTCCACATAACCAAAACTTGCAGGAGTGCTTTTTTTCATCTACACAATATTAGACGCGTCAGAAAATATCTAAGAATAGAATCTGCCGAGAAGTTAGTCCACGCTTTCATAACAAGCAGATTGGACTATTGTAACTCACTTTTATACAGACTACCCTACTGCGCTCTCACTTAACTGCAGCGGGTTCAAAACGCAGCTGCAAGAGTCCTTTATCTAGCACCACGGTATTGCCATATCACACTAATATTATACAAATTACA